AGGGGGAGAGGGGGGGGGGGGGGAGGGCGAAAAACAAGGTAAAGAGGGAAATTTAAAAAGGAAAAGAAAAATCCCCATGTGCCGCAGATTTGCGGTGACTTATTTTCGTCTGTCCCCTAACTGAAATAAAGGATTCGCCTTTTTTCTTTACTCGCACCCAGCCCATTTTGATTTTTTTTTTTTCCTCCGGGATGTGGGGATAATAAAAAGGGATTTTCTCATAAAATTCCGCAGCTGATGAATTTTCTTTTGGGTGAGATTTCCCCGGCCTGGAGAAGCAGCGCTTGACTTGGAGCCACGTTCGATGTGCACGAATGTGCTCTCTAGGTGCTTGGCCACAGACACACCGGTATCTTCAGGGCACCGGTTACCGGCACACGTTTGGGGCCGAAAACCCTCTTTTTGAGAGTTTGCTTTGAATATCTACAGGTCAAATTAGCTTTTTAACAAACGGAATATATTGACAACCTCAGCATCTCCGGCTGCAAACGCGCGTTCACCTGCAAAACTGGGTTCAGCCCGAAATTTCCGCGGTTTATTTTTTAAAGGGGAGAGTGGCAGTAAAGAAAATGGCTAATTTAAAGGAGAGAGGGTAGAAAACTGCCTTAAAAACCAGCAGCTAAAGTGTTGGAGATAAGGTAATGAGAAACAACTTGCAGTTTGCTGGACACCGCAAGGATATATGTCTTTTTTTTTTTTTCCCCCTGGACTCGGGGATGAATCTGTTTCTCTCTTCCTTTCCAGCAGGGATAAAAATAAAGAAATAAATACACCTAATTTCTCCCAGGGTCTGTCTTCAAGACGGCAGAGAAAGGGAAGGGGAACCAGGCAAACCCACACTTGTCCTCAGGAGAAGGAAATTCGGCTTCTTTCTCCTCGGAGCCCGCTGGTAGAGGGAGAGGGAACCGCTCCCTGCAGAAATATCCACATAAAAGCTTTTCCGGAGCAATCTGCAAGCCTAGAGCCGGCACGAGGATGAGAAAGAGGAATTTATAAGGCAATATTGTTGGATATTGGTCGATTTTCCCTCTTATTTCCCTCATTTAAAAAATAATCCTGAAAGCGTGATGCTGCGGGGATGGTGTGTGAGCGATGCGGACTCTTCCAGCCTTTTTCTATAAGGGCACAGGCAGAGGAATATTATACTTGAAAAAGAGCTTGGGGGGAAAAAAAAATGCTATTAAAAAAAAAAACCAACCCACCCAAACCCGAACCTATCGGACGGGTCTCACATCTGCTCTTATTTCTAATTGCTCCTTCTCCTCTTCCAATTTTTTATTTATGGGTACCACTCTCCTAAGCGGTTCCACATTTTGGTAAGTGCAAACATCCCCGAGCCGGTTTGGGTTCATTAACCCACTCGCCATCGCGGGGAGAGCCGCCCCCAAAAGCTAAGAAATGAGAAGAAATGGCAAACCGGCAGCATTTTCGAAATGAAATCCTGAATTTCGGAGCTGAGGGTTGTTTTGCACACCGACCCTCCTCCGCCCTCCCCAGCCTCGGACCCTTCCCCAGGAAACCACCCGTTTAAATGTGATTTTTCTCTTCCGTTACCTCCAGAAAAAGACCTTTTTCTCTTGTTTTCTTATCTTTTTCTGTTTTCTTCTCTTTTTCTCTTGTTTTCTTCTCTTTTCTTCTTGTTTTCTTCTCTTTTTCGCTTGTTCTTTTCTCTTTTTCTTTTTTTTTCTTTGTTTGTTTTTTATTTTTCTCTTGTTCTTTTCTCTTTTTCCCTTGTTTTCGTCTGTTTTTCTCTCGGTTCTTCCCTCTTTTCCTCTTGTTTTCTTCTCTTTTTCCCTCGTTTTCTTCTCTTTCCCCCTCGTTTTCACCCTCTCCCCTCATTTTCGGCGTGCAACCCGCACTAACCCCCCCGCATTACAAAATCCAGCGCTTCCTCAAACCGGTTCTTTCCCCGGGATACGAAGTGGGAAAATCCAGCCCTTCCCCAAACCTGCCAGCGCACTTCGCTGTCATTTGTGCAATTTCTCCCGGTGCCTGCCTTCCCCGGGGCTCCTGCCTGAACCC